CGGTATCCATCATACTTAATCACAGTATTTGCATCCGAAATAGATTAAGCCTACACGATGGCAAATTCAAATAAATATGCCAATAGAAATTGGAAAACTGAAATTTAAATCATGTTCACTTGTTGTGAAATCGGTGACATTTATTTTATGACCAGAGGCATATCACCTTGCCTAGACTAGCAAAAAGCTTTGATCGCTTTTCTTTTCATATAGTACCTCACTGAGCTTTAATAGATTTTACAGTTTTTAGAGAGACATTTAACCATATTAGTTTAGCCGATGACTTGTACCACACGCTGTCACCGCTCCCTGCCTGACCTGTTTCGTTCACTTAAAACCTTCAAAACAAAACTTAAGAAAAGTATAATCACTTAACAGCTATTTCCATTTATTAAAGAAGCTGGTCATGCTGCATACAGACCTCTGTATCCTCTTGTTTTGTCGTTAGTAGAGGAGGGAATTATTGCAAAACTTTCTCCATTAAGCCTATGTAAAATCTTTTAGACCTCTTTGCTCGATGTCTAATGCTTCTCAGTTTTTAAAGAAATACGAGTTACATTTCTTCCTCGAAAACGTACTTCACTTTCCCATAAAAATAAATGAAATTTGTATGGGTGTAATAACGACACGATTCAAACAGCATCATGGCTATTACGAGCTCGTTCGTCAAGCGAAGAGGGATGCTCTTTAATTTGAAAGATACATGGTAAAAGGAAACATTTATACAAAGTCGAACCTATAACGAGCGCTTACCCACGGGAAATGGTCAGTGCTCAAGACTGGCAATACAGAGTAAGGCTTTCACAAAAAATGATTAAAACGTCACCCTATGCTATAAGTATAAAAAATCATCCAAAACTATTACTAACCTTGATTTCGGGAGATAAACATCAATCGAATTTTTCTTGAAAGGTTATAACTAATTCTATTTGAAGTGGTTCCGCTCTAAGTGATCGTTCAATACAGGTGGAGGAGAATACAAACAGGCCGCTGGTACTCAGTAAAGGGTGACCACGAACGCTTACTAGAGGTGAAAACTACGGTTATTAAAGGGAAAAAAAATTTGGGGACTGACTAAATGTGCGCAGTGTGATCGTTTATTAAAGGCTCCACTGCAATCTAAAAGTAGCTCGCTTCTCGCTTGTGATTTACAAACTTTTATCGTGTTCTCTCAACATCCTCTCTGGGTTATTACACCGGTAAATTGATAGAAAGTAAGGTTCGTTGTTTTTAAACAATTAAAAGTATTCGTATGAACACGGCCCTGGGTAGGACATATTTCGCATCAGAGAGGCTTTTCAAAGAGAGTTTGACACTAATTACCTTCATTAGGCAGGAAAGACCGAAAGGATCCAACAGAGTCTGGTATGTAGTTTGTTCAGCTTTTCTTTAGTAACACAATGGAAATGGCCACCAAGTGAGACCAAGGAATTAGTTTTATTTTGAGTTTTTGTTATTATGACCGTTTCAGGCTTTGGAGATTGAAAAGAATAGAGCCTTAGTCGCTTACGTTCTCCATTTTTTTTTTTATTCTACGAAGCGAGATGAAAGAGTCAATTATTACGCCTAAATATGTTGTGTTTCGTCAGAAGAATTTTGGTGTCATGTACTAGATCCAAAAACACAGGGGTGGATCTGGGAAAGAAGTGCAAAGTGTGTGGGAAGTTCTAATAGAACTGTTATTCTGCAAAAAAAGAAAATTTTTGCAGAATTTTCTGGTGTTGAAGTACAACATGAGACGACCTTGACGAGTTTATGTTAAATGCTGTAAAGATGAAAGTATGGGCCAGCAGTATCGAACATTTGTCCTTCTTTTCGTCACAGCTGGTATTCTGCGTGCACCATCGTCTGACTCTTATTCGTGGGTTTCCTATGGACTTTGTTTCGCTTCTATGCATACGGCCCCTGTCACGTCGGAACTTCTCAGCAGCTCACGTTATGGTATTGCCCATAGTCATAAACCTTTTTCTTCCTTGTGCGCTTTTAAAATTTGTACGCCAACAGGGTTTTGGAAGTTGAACGAGGGACTTTTACACCTTTAGTCTTCACTACTACCGGAGCATGGCCGACAAATGCAAGCGTTTCCACAGTAGATTAGCGGAACTCATCTCTATTAAGAAAGGGGAGAGGTACAGCAAAACGATTTCATAGATACGTTCAAAAGTGTCCTTCGCTCTACTAAGGTCTGCCTTACTTTGCCTAAGAGGTTCACGCACCACTAGGCATGTCCCTCTGAACATTGAACATTGTGACTTTGAGATCGAAAAAGAACAAGCAGGATTTATAAAATAGTTTTTGTTTTTGTTTTTGTTTTTTTGAGAATATTTTTAGATTTTTAATATATAAGATGGATTTTTTTTATCTTCAAATAAGATTTTCCATGACATTTCTCTTGAGCTAGGTTGAACTCGGAAGTAGTTAAGGATAGGATTAGGAAGGAACAGATTATAATCGATTGAATGTAATCATTAGAATGAAATAATTATGTGAAATGAGATCTACGACAGATTTTAATTTAGTCAAGTTTATACTATAATGTAGGAAAAGAATTTTAGTGAATTAAAATTTATATTGATAATACTAAGATGATAGTTTACAATGTATGTGCACGCTACAAACCAAACTTTACCGTCTTGGCTCAACCTTTAGTTTTAATTTCTTTTGAATTGTGTCGTGAAAATAGCCGAATCAGTAAAACATACACACATATAATAGCTTCTACCAAAACATTGGAATGGAAAGGTTTATGATACAGACCAGATTATAAGTCTGATAAATAAACGTACTGTACAAAGTAAAATAAAAACTGTTTCTTGACTATAAAATTGTCTCTGTTCGATGGGTTACAATTATATTACCATCATTTTTGAAGGTATGAGGCTCTGCAGCGCGACATGCAATCCAAGCTCCGCTATTACACAATTATTTAGCTGCAGAGTGGACTGGAATATATAGTAGTATGTATTGGTTAGAAAAAACCCTTTAAATAATGAAATTTTCAAGTAATTTCAAGTAATCTTAAGGAGACCAACTTATAACAACAAAAATAGTAATTATCTTCATTATCATCATCATTTATGTCGCACATTTTCATATGTCCATATGTCCAAAAGCACTTTACAGAGTGTGCCTAGTAAAACAATATTTTGAAACCCGAGAGACAGAATCTACAAGCTTATCACTAGCGTAAAAATAAAACAATCTTATTCTAAGTAATGAAATACTATAAACAACTATAAAAGACTGCCACACGCCTGTCGAAAAAGTAGAATTTGATCATTGATAAAAGACATCCGCGATTGCTTAAATTTCGCTGAACTCTGCTCGTTGATTGGCCCAGAAAACTTGAGCCATCCTCTCAACCTATCGGATGCAAGATTACATTTGCAACTTGCTCATTCCCCTTTTTCTTTTCTCGAAGCAGTTTGCTTGTTTTCACTTTAAGCTCTCTTTGGCATATGATAATGTAAACTGTTCTTCTGATTGGTTGCTTTAATAACTTTGGTTTTGTTTTTCAACTCTCAGAAGGTAACTCCTCTATGTACAAATTATCGATCATGAGAGACAACACTTGATTTTGTTTGGGATACAGCCATACGGTAATTTTACAAGATTAAAACTGGCCTTCCTTGGCTCCATCGTCGAGCCAAGTGACCCACTCAGCCGGAACTTATCCCGGTTTCACTTTAGCATAAAGAGGAGTATTACTACAGATTGGGGGACAGAGTTTGGTGGCTGTCAAAATGTGATAAATGACATAACAATGAATTCTCTCGTGCAGAAGAACCTATAGATACAATGTTATTACTAATAATTTACAAACTCAGCTCATAGGAATGAGCTAAAATAAGATAAAGCTATTTAAACGTTACAATTTCTCGCCTTATTGCAGCAGTGTTTCATGAGGTGCATCACTTTCCTGGATTAAGAGAGCTTTAGCAAAGTCTTTTTTAATCTTCTGCAAGTCGTTGGATAATTCTTTGAGTCTATTTTCAAAACCCTGAAAATTCTCCACCACGAATTTCTTCCTGTTAAAGTGGCCTGGATGATCTTCCTCGCTTCCTCGGTCACACTTGTGCATATCTGAAGAATTAAAGTAATGGATCTGTCAATACCTAATTTAGCAAAAAATAAAATGTATTTGGGAACGGTCAATATCTGTCACACAGTTGGGGCTAGAAGACGGGGAAGGAGTGCCTTCGGAGGATTTGGGTTGTATCACAATTTACCTGATCCTCTATTTAGCTCTGTTGAATTCCAATGATCGCCCTTTATAGGGACGACTGTTATTTCCCTCCCTTCCCCCTGAAAAGCACGCATCTCCTCCCCCCCCTCCCGCCGCAAAATCCTCTGACCTGCCCCCTAAAAAATGACAACCTTTGATGTTGGTAGAACAAGGACAAATTGAATCCAAATATTTCCACACGGGTTAAACTTACCTTTCCTCTTTAGAATCGCGGGATTACAGGAATTCAAGCCCTCCCAAAATACCCCGATGATGACAAGTCCGAGGAATATCCCAAGAAGACTAAATAAGATAAACCGGGTTATTTCTGAGCCACTTGAGAATAAACCATCCATTTGATCAAATAAGGCAGCCGTCTAAAAAGAAAAAAAAAACATTAAAGAGGGATAGATTCAACCACTTAGAATTATTTAAAGAGCAAGGGTAGTCTTTGTTTTCCCACAGGTATCTTACTTTTCTCATTTTCCTAGTTCTGGATTATACAAATTTTCATGAATTCATCATCAGAGGGCTAGAGATACCTAAACCGACCTTCTAATATTTTTCCGGCCAGTTAAAGCCGTAAGGCGACAAAAAACAACCTTTGTGCGGTCGTGTATCAAAAACCTGACGTCAGTATCAACAATTACTCTTGATCACTTTAGTTGAAAAGTGTTGTAGAAGACTACCTGCAGTTCTGCCGGTATCAGGTCACCTGATGCCTTTAGACTTTCTCCGCGCAATGTTGTGGAAAACTTCTTTAATTCTGGTCCACATTCCACCACTTTTTTTCTTTTGACAATTTCTGGATCAGTGTCATTTGTAACGTTCACTGGTCCTGTGTATACGTGCACCAAGTAATAATCCATCGGATAATCGATATTGCGAATCATTCGGATCTGCCTGTTCATTTTCAGTCCGGATTTATCGAGGAAGTAAAATGCAGTGTTTCGATCGACAAGGACTCTTCCGATGGTTCCTTCGCTGAGTTTTTCTTGCATCTCTTGCAGGCTTCTAAACTCTGTGATATCAAATATTTGTGGATCAGTCTAGTCACAACGGAGGTCACTTAAAAAAGGTTAAATATTTTTACAAAAATGCATTCATGGAAAACGAACCATTGAGGCTTTTTTCAGTTGGTAGTTTGTTAGAAGGGGTGTCACTGTACTGTATTTTTTGTAAGGTGTATCTTCGTGATATGGGAATACTTTAACGCCTGAGCGAATTCAACCCCCTCCCCCTTCTCGTGGCTCTGTGATCGTGTACGTTTGTAGTAGAATGGGAAGTCATACTGGCGTGTGCTCCCAGTACGAATTGATGTTACCGAATCAGGTAAATGCAGAACTATCCTCGAGTCCTCCAGTGGGACTGGAATCAGGAGCACATCCCTAATTTTCGTTAATCCAGTATGACATCGTCACGTTAATTGGACGAATGAAGACAGATGCATTTGAAAACTTTATTTGTAAACGGAATGTTGGCAATAGATATAACCTCAGCGAAAATCGTTACTTACCAATTATCTTTGCGTCGTACTGCTTTGCCACAATTTTCGTATCAGTATTTTTGATGAACACGCCAACCTAAGGTAAATCCCACTACATTAGAACAGCTTTATCTTCTCTTGCGCATGTATTGGGTGTGGTCATCCTTTTTTCGTAACCTTTCCCCCCTCCAGCGCATGCGACTACATCTTTTAGGCCTTTCACTGTGGCAAGGACGCACTTTGTAAGTCCTGAATCAGATTACTTAGATGGCAATAGTCAATAATTGATAGGTCTCAAGGAATGATGCATATATAATGTTGTAAATCAACAATTAAAATCGCCCATGGAAAAACTTAATAGGGCCTGGTAGAGACTTGTACATTTGTCGACAGATAAATGCCCAATAAAACCTACAAAATTTGTTTTTCTTGTCAAGTACAAATTATCTGTCATCTCGGAATCTCCACATATTTTTAGGTACACTTACAATTTGCTGGCAATTAGTAAGTATTCAGTTAATAAGATTCTAGAAAGGTTGTGGAGTGATTCTGTCAGCGAAGAGGGCATTACTGGTGATAGATTCTCCGAAGAAAGTTATGGAGGCTATCGGAACGAGTCTGACAGCTCAGACCATGATGCTACACA